TGTACGCTATCGGACGCGTCCCCAGATTGTGGATCGGGGAATGCCTTCCTTGTGGAGGGAAATGCGAATAAGTCTCGTTTGCCTTGCAGGCGAGATGAATAAGCAGTCGCGGACAATCAGCGGCAGCGTCTCAGAGCGTGGAGAATTTTGTGCTGGTCACCTGGTTCTCCATCAAATACCACAAGACCTCGTACGGTGCTGTGTCAAAGTCAATGTGACCAGCTATAGGGTCACTGACCACTCACTTCTGTAACTGGAGGTGAGTATTTAACGGAGGGCGGATGAACAACCTTGTTGGCCATCGGCTTCTCTGTGGATTGCTACTGAGCACAAAGAACCCGAATGAGCTACCCGGATGTCAACGTTCTCCGTTAATCGTCCCGCTGCCTTGCGGGTCAGGTCTTTATGACCAAAGGCTCGGGATGGGGTCCCTTAAGTCAACCCTCTTCCGCGGCCTGGACAACCGGGAAGATCTCTTCCCGCACAATACATTAACCTTATAAACCTTCCAAACCTTTCCACTGTCTACCTGTTTTCCCCTTCTTCTTCTTCTTCTTGTCGCTGTTGTTAACTGTGTGTTGTGACACTGCCAACTGTATGTTTGTCAGATGTTGAATAATAATACTATTAATTGAGTGTATTCATTTTGGAAGACTGGCAGCATCGAGCGAAATGATTTCGTCTGTTACATTTGCCACAAATGCGACCCCACGCCGGACATTGATCACGATCCTTCGGGTGTCGCACGGCGAAGAATTTGCAAGTTTCGTGTATCGTGATAACAGGCTTCGCAGTTTTATCAGGCAAGTTGCATACGGCACATAGCTCTGCATCAGACGGCAACCGCATTTGCTGGATGTGGTGTGTAGCTGACGATTCACTGAGGCATATAGCAAGGAATTGTCTGAACGATAAATGCCGTTTCCGCTACAAGCACTTGGTGACATTTTCATCATTGATCCCCAGCACGATTCTATATCGGGTGAGACTGTCAGTCATCCCAACGTAAGTTACAGGAACGAACCAGGATCTTCAGCTCCATAACATAGTTCTCAACTGATTCGTTCGAAAGCCTGTTTCCTTAGTCTGTCCCTCTCAGAAATCGCCGAATTTTCGGATGACTGTTTCCAAATAGGCTGGGTTTACCAGGACGTACGGTGCTTCATCACCGATTGTGTGTCGAAACATCGCCAGGCGATACGCCGTCGCTTTTCTATTCAAATGCACCAGTCCGCAAAAGTCGATCCGTTTGCTTTTCCAAATTCTCCAATTACTGGCCAACTTGTGTTCTTCCATGTTCTACAGGCCAGGTGGCTGTACAGCTGGCTGCGCTACAATCAGCAACTGAGCACTGTTCGGCGATCTCGCTTTGGTCTTCTCTGATACCATGTCGCAAAAATCCGTCCTTCAAAGACAAACGGTTTGGAAATAATTGAGAAAACCTGTAGCTCGGGGTGTGGATGAAAAGGTTGCTTTGTTCTCGGAGTTGGACGTTTCAGTTGCAGTCGTTTCCTCCCCAAGCTAGGTAACATCATCAGTACGGCTTTCAATGTCTGAATGGGAGAGCCTCGTGAGCCAATTGCAGACCCGAGTGGCAATCGATCGTGCCCGGCTTTGAATGTCAACTCTGGATGGACTCACGTGGGTCGGCCAAGTGATCGCTTCTTCGGCATGTCGCTCTGACGACTACCGCGGACTTGATGTGCGGAGCTTCGTATACGCCCTCTAGCTCCAGGCGCTTGTTGATTGAATTCCGGCCCGAATGCCAGACCTCGATGAACTCACACGTCTTTCGACTCCTTGCTCTTCCAAGTATCTTGGCGTTTACCAGATCGAATTGGTTGTCCTCGACATCCATATGTATAATAAGAATGCGTCAGCTGTACGCCGTACCGGCGCTTCGCTGCCGTGCGACCACCACCAGTCGCACGCGGGCTGAGTATACCGCGAGGACGCCCACCCCTACGTATTGACAGTAACGATTTCTCATCATGACGCCAGATAGCCTGTGTATGCTCGTGAAGCCTTGGGCCGAGTTTTCTTCCGGTCTGGCCCACATAGTATTTGTCACAATTTCTACAGGGAACTTCGCAAATTACGCCAGATGTTTCTCCCTTACTCAGTTGATCTTTTGCCTTGAAAAGTTTGCGTCGAATCGTTTCCGCTGCTTCATGCTCAACATTTATCCCGTGAGGCATTAGAAGCCTCGCTGCCATCTCAGAAATTCCATTGATGTAAGGTAGGATGATAGTTTTCCTTTCTGTTACAATACTGGATGCCAGTTGTGGTTGTTTCCTCCACATCAGGCAGCGTAGAATAAAACTTCTGTGGTAGGAATTCCGCTGATACATGTTGAAGTGGTTGTCTCCCTTCGCCTTCCTCAGTTGCGCGTGCTACAGTGTGTGTGTGTGGCCTCGCTTGAAGGGAGTTCTTACACAGCTGCGCCTGTAAACGGCCAGATGGTTTCTGAGATAGTTCGAAATCTGACCGGTATGCGTTACTCTCCGATAGACCGTTGTTTCCAGGAGGCCAGAATCATGTCTTATCACGAGCACCTTCAAGAATGGCAACTCGCTATTGTTCTCCTGCTCTTTGGTGAATTCGATGCCAGAGAAAACGTTGTTGATTAGCCGGTGTATTTCTTGAAGTCTGGAGCCTTTGAGGATAACAAAAGCATCGTGCACGTAACGTACCCAAAGCTTGGGCGCCACAATCGGCAATGCCTTTTGTTTCAGTGCCTCGGCTCTCAGTCCAGAGATTGGCGATCCCATTGGCGTTGCCATTGTCTGTTTGTAAGTTTGCTCGTTGAAAGTCACATGCGTAGTGAATCAGAAATCAAACAACTCCATCAATTGCGTGACTCCGATTCTGTTATTTGCATTTACCGCTTCCTGTTGTTCCAGCAGGATCATCATTGTTTGCTTTATCAGCTCGATGTCAATTGATGTGAACAAGGCTGTAACATCAAAAGAGACCATTATCCCGTCTCTTTCCATTGTTATTCTCCTAAGTTTTTCAAGGAACTGTTCCGCCGATTGGACTGAATTTTCTGAGCCTGTGGTTAGATGTTTCAGCCGTTTTCATAGTTCTTTAGAAAGCATGTAATTTGGTGCCCTGGGTCATGACACGATGGGCGAAGCGGTACCCCATTTTTGTGTACTTTAGGTAGGTCGTAGAACCGTGGTAGTATTGAGTCCTTGGGTTTAATCTTGCTGTGTTCTAACTTCGTAATCTGTCCCATTTGTTCTAGTCTTTGAAGCGTACGTTTGCTATTGCTTTCTGGACATTTTGTAGGGTCTTCACTTATCGGCTGGTAGGTGTTTGTATCCTACAGCAGTTCTTGTGCGACGAAACGTCTTCAACTGAAACGCCTAGCTCGGAGAACATTGCAGCCTCACAAACGGTTTATTTGACAGTGCAGGTTCAACGAATATAACAGCATGCTCAGGTTGTAGGGGACTTGATGTAAATAACTATGTCAGTTCCATGACTAACCACGCGGTTACCTGCATGAGACACTACCTTTGAATCAGTCAAACAAACACTCCAGCGTTCTCGAATACGAACCAATTGGCATCAAGGCGGTGGTGCCTAGGCGTCCAATCATGTTTCGTTGGCTTGCAGCAAACTAGCCGCTTGCTCCATCGCGTAAATCCGTACCGTACTTCTACTTGCATAATCCATTACAGGTTGCGAGTCCTGCCCCAGTGGATTTACCTAAGTATCAAATAAGTTTACTGGTCTCCTTCAAACACTTATAAATCAGTGACCTATAACCCAGCTGTTATTAGCATACTGCGTTGTCTGATTCTTTCTTATGATTTTAAGAGTCTGATGATAATTATTGAAAATAAATCTCTTCGCTAACTGGACTTCTTATTTTTGCCGGTTTAAAAACATCCGTTAGACATAAGCTGAAGGAATTGATAGGCTCATGTAACGATGAGATTTGGAACATCCTTAGCACGAGCTCTTCGTTCATTGGAAATATCAGTGTGAACAAGCAACGCTGCATGACCTGGTCTGATGCGGGTGGACTGCGAGAATGAGCACCTGTTGGGGTGCTGAACTCTCTACGCTATGTTTCTCCACATCCACTTTCCTGAGCCGATCGCATAAACTACTACCACGGAGGTACTCCAAAAGCGTTCACATATCGTGGCGGTTGTACTACGCCTAAAACAGCTTCACTGTGCATCCGTTCGGTTTTGTTATACCGGTTTGTAGCATCGGAAAAGACATTGTATCCCAGGTGACCATTTCATACATGTGATCCAGATCTTCTTGAATTTGTTCACGCAGAAATGTTAGACTCGTTACCTATTCGCAGTTGGTTTCACTATGACCCTGACGGTCGAGGCATAACTGTATGGGACCCGTATGATACTCGCACTAAACGGACAGATCTTTGTTTGCGCTAACTGTAAAATGAAGTGAACAAAGCGTCGATTATGTTCTCGCGGTGTTTGGCGATTTTGTTATGCAATATTCTCCAGCGGTCTTCAGGGAATTTCGCGTGAGTGGCCTTATAATGACTTGGTTGCTTAGAAAGTTAACTGGTACGAAAATCGAGGAATTTTGCGTTTGAAAATCATTCCTAGTTCTACATTGCCTCTGGTCTGGAAGGCCACCATGTTGGCCAGACCAAGTGGTTATTAAAATCGAGATAGAGTAAAATAGCGACTGGCTTTTAAGAATAATTTTCACTAGTTTGAGAGTGGATGTCTGTTGCATACTGCAGCTGTCCGGTGTAATAGCGTCAGCGGTGTGCGCACCGCAGCACATGGATGTCGTAACGGTAGTTGAAAGAGAGTCTGCACTAACTGGATTTTCATCGGCGTTATACAACAGCCGATAGCAACAGTAATGGAATTCATTTGTATTTATTGTTGGTCATCAGTTGCTCAAAGAGCACCAGCCAGGTGACCCCCTTTGTGTGCTATCACTTCAAATGCTTACACGGACATAACAACACGCAGACAAATTGACGTGGTACCTTAATGGAAATCACTATCTGGCAGTCTAAGTGTACTTTGTCATTTCTCATCCTTCTGTTAACTATCTCAGGGTGGCGAGGTCCACAGGATGACCCACGAACGGAACTGTGCACGTGTCCACCGCAATACTCGGGGAAGTCATGTGAGAGTTGCGCAGTGGGTTTTCGCAGAGATCCACCAAACGGAGCTGCCACCGATCGTTGCGTTGCGTGCACCTGCAACAACCACGCCACGATTTGCCATCCTGAGACCGGTAAGTTACCACCATTTGGGAGACCTTTGAATGAATTTGTGTTCAAGTGTATGAGCGATTTAGTGGTATTCCCTTTCGCTAGTCATGTTGATATACTTCCATGGTAGTCAGTTTTGTGCCCCGGTGGTGTAATAGCAAGTTGCAGATTAATACCAGTTCCCTCAACACAGTCCATGGTGGGATTTAACTTAGGACGAGGAAATGGCGGCACACGCACCTTCCATCCACATCACATTATTCGTAGCGCTAACATGCCGCCGTGGCATGGAGCCATGTTCACCACCTGAAAGTCAGTGACTCGTAGTAGCCAATCACAACAGTGGAAATATGACGCACTGTAATTGCGGTTCGTTGTGTAGGGCCCCGCGAGTGCTTCACCCACGACACGATCAACCAAGGACAAGGATTAAGAGGTTCTTTAACATAGGGAAACTATCTCTTTATATAGCTTGACGTACAAGCGTCAAAGCCAACCAGAGTGCTGGAAGCGTGCGGGCAAGTAAAGCGAATGAAGACTGAACAAATAAGGAACCAATCAGGTGCACACAAAGAACGAAAAGTGACAGTGTTAGCGTCAGAGTAGGGCTTCGGACGCAAAGCAGAAACTACGAGTCTGAACTGCCAATAGGGATAACGAGATGATACGTTAAATTAAACATCAGTTAGCCACCAAACCAGAACGTAGATCTGCAGTCACGAACGGTTAGGCAAGCATGCCTGCATTTTTTTGCTCCTCTAAATTGGTTAATGTTGTACGGGCTTGCTTGATAACATGTTCTTCTATTTCACTTGGGCGCATATATTCGCGCCGAGTTTGGACCCGAACAAAATAGGAGACACCTTCCATTTCATAATGAGCAGCAAACAAAAGTGTACACAATCAGTCTAAGAAGTCCCACAAAAGCTTGCACTACTTTCATAAATGATTGGTAAGCATTCAAAACCAGCATGGTCAGTTACTGCTTCTACTCGTTGCTTCATGAACGGATACTGATAGCACCCAGTTAACGACGAAGGCTCATGCTCCACCTCCGTAAGGGATCATGCATCACTTTATGCGTCATTGGCTGTGCCGTCGCCATAACCTGGTGCAAGTTGTGTGTACCGATTTGTTCCGTTGGGCCACGTTTGGTGATGCTCTCGAATCCCATGACAGCTACTCCCACCAGAGTAGTCAGTTGCTAGAGGTCAAACGGGCTTAGCATCCTGACCTTCTAATTTCGGGGTTAAAAATTACCTGCTAGCCAGTACTGTCCAATCTGGTTGTTGCCATCTTCCCACTGCTTTGTGGTAGCGCTCTCGTTCCAATGGCTTTGACTAAGAATTTAAGTGCCCTACCACACGTACATCCATGCCCACCTCATCTAACCTCAACTGAATCCTACATCGGTCGTTGAGCAGTTTCCAAAGGTTCACCTTGTCTACCGCAGACAGTTCAGACAGCTAAACAACTATCCTCCGGACACCAGACTCAGAGGATCTACTTGTCACGTCTCGCGTCAACAAGGTAACATATAGAGAAACTGAGGTAGAGCGCGGGAAGAATATAGAGGAAAAGGGGTTGTTGGGAGGTGAATAAAACTAATCGGGATGGAAAATTAACCTATGGATGCAAGAAACGGAAACGGCATTAAATGTGCAACTGCACCTCGTCCTATTCGATCTTCAAAAACCAAAAAATGACAGAGTAAGGTTCCATGTTACGTGAAACTGGCGGAGGCCCGCAAACGCTCTCGTTGGCTGGCTCCAAACCAAAAGTGAAGTCATTGACTGACCCCAGCGGGAAAGCGCTCAAACTGTCTGCCTATTGGACAGTATGCTTCGAGCTGGTCTGGTTCGACCTGCATCTAGGGATACCGGTATGGAACCAAACTTGAAAAGTTTCCATGAACAGGCAACATTAATATTTACAATACTACAGATGGATTATTTGAACCGATCATGCCCCTATTGGCAAACTGGAAGAGTTCTCTGAGGGATTCTTTCTTGGAACAATTACATTGGGCATCTGAATTGTACTTTTACTGTCTGCCAATGAAATTGCTAGTGACGGCCGCAACATTCTACTGAGTATTTGTGTCTCACAAACATACGAACTAATTCGCAGCCTGGTGACTCCAGATTTACCATGCACCAAACAAGCTGATGAACTGGTCACACTGGTCAAACTACAATCCAAAACCATCAATGATTGTGCAGCGGTTAAAATTCAATACCGACGTGCAGATTGAGTGGGAGTCAGTTGCTTCCTTCGCTGCCGATCTTCGGTATTTGATGGAACATTTTGTTTTCTACGACTACCTAAACGACAAGCTCGTCTAGTCGTTGGGAGGAAAAACGTTCGCGCTCATTGTTACTTGTTGGCTGATAACGCATTGACGTTGAAAAGTGCTTATATTGTTGTAATGGGTATGGAGGCTGCTGAAAATAGTATCTGGCTTTTGCAGAATTTGCAGCCGGATTCATAGCCAAGTGCTGAAGATTTCCCTGTCGAAGTCAAAAGCATTACAAAAATACACCAAGTGTTCGTTTACCTGCTATCCTTGCGGCTTGGGGCACAGCTATACCAGACAGTGTAACCATACTCAGACAATTTGTAACAAATGCCGAACACGTGGGAATTTGACGCGTATTTACCGATCGAGTGTACATCCACATTCATCGGTGGTAGACAACCAAATGGTTGCTATTGAGCCACGAGAATACATACTACACACAACTATCCGACAAGCAACAACCACCATTCTGCGCACAGCTTTGTATTAACCAAATACCGGTGAACTTCGAAATTGACGCGGGTAGTGCAGTACGGTTGTGGGACAAACTCAACACCGGCTTGAACAGCCACGCGCATGCGATTGTATATATGCACTGGTGGTTAAGTAAACTTATGGGAGTGCAGGATGTTGTGGTGCCATATGGAGGGTCGACAACTCAGAGAACCATATACATCGCACGCTGAGATGGTCCAAACCTAATGGGCCTTAACTGGATGAATCAGCTTCTGGTCTTACAGACAAGCCAACTTCCCTTACCATCGAAAATACAAATGCTGCACCAGCAATACGCACCATTTTTTGCGACACCAGAAGAAGAAAAATGCACCGGTGGTCAAGTTAATATCTACATTCCACCTGGTAGGTGACCATAATTCATGAAGGCTCGGTCACTGCAGTATGGGATACGATCGAAAGTAGAAGCGGAACTTGATCTCCTGCAACAGAGGGCATCCTAGTGCCAGTACAGGTTTCGGATTGGGTTACGCCATTTGTTCCAATACTCAAGCCTGATGGATCGATTCGCATCTCTGAGGATTACAAAGGTACTGTCGATTGTATTATACCAATTGAAAAATACCGCAGTCCAAAAATTGTGGACGTTTACGCTCAGATGGATACCAGCAGATATTTCGCAACCTTAGAACTCGCATACACCTATCAACACCTCAAACTATGCGAAAACATTAAAACCATACCGACGGTCAGTACCCATCGGATTAGTTCAGATATAACATGCTACTATTTGGCATCCATTGGACTCACGCCATCTTCCAGCGAACGATAGAGAACATCCTAACAGGCCTGCCTAAAGCTTTCGTGTACCTAGTCGAATTCCTGGTTACGGAGGCAACAATTGGTCAACATCTATAAATCTTGTGAGTTGTTCTAAAAGAGAATGGTCTGAAGCTGCAACGTGAAAAATGCGTATCCTTTGTACCACACCTTGATTATTTAGGTCTCCGTATGGGTGCAAAGGGACTGAAGACGTCTGAAGAGCAAATTCGGTTTGTTTTCGAGGCACTACAATCAAGGAACCAAGACGACTTGTCGCTCTTGGGGGTGTAAAATCACTACTTAAGGTCTCTTCCACGATCGGCCATAGTGCTATACCCTTTACACCGTTTGTTATGCAAGGGCGCTTAGGGGGTATGGTCTGAGACGGAGGAATAAGCAACAAGTGCATTGGCCAGTCCACCGGTTTTACCTCTCTTTGACCCCGAAAAGTACATTACGTTTACAGGTGATGCATCCCCGTACGGAGTCGAAGCCAGCCTGTTACAACCTGACGCAAGAGGAGTAAACAAACCAGTTGCATTCGCCTCTCCGACCCTGACCCAGGCCGAGTAAAATCACGCCTAAATTGACAACGAGGCTTTGGCAGCCATGTTTGGAATCGTCATTTCTCAATACTATCTATTCTGCCAGAAGTTTGATACGCGCCCAGCCCACAGGTCACTGTTGTGAATTTTAAGCTAATCAAAAGTGATACCCCAAGTGGTACCGCACCGAATGTTTCTCTGGGCCTTACTATTTAGTATCTATCAGTATCAATCGAAATATCTTCCCGGCAAGGAGAATCAGTGTGCCGACGCTCTCAACGGACTTTCATTACGGGAAGATCCGAGGCACACGCCAGCTTTGAGATAACTGGTGCAAGTGATGTCTTGGTTGGATGATTCGTATTCAGTGACATCAAAGAATATAGAATCGGACTCAAGGGGTGATTTTGAACTGTCGAAAGCGCGGCATTATATCCTAACTGTTTGGCAGAATAAGATAGACGAGGTTGAAAGTACAGTCGAACCCGTTTTATTGCCGACCATCGAGATATCTCAAAAGCGGGCAATAAAGTGGAGTGGGCAATTAACCGATATTGCCATTTTTCCCCAAAGGGGAACAACCGTTGAGTTATTGTACAGTATATTACTTGGATTGTAACGTGTTAAGAAAGATAAAATACGCACTTTTAACTGAAGCCTACAAAAGACATTTATTCAGAAGAGCATGACCTATAATTTAAAAGTTATTACATAAAGCATCTTAACTGGATAGCTATAGAAACTGGCGCTACTGTATACTTTTGCTGAGAACATACCAACATCAGTTGTAAATTATTTCGTGTAAACACTCGTCACTTTTGCTTTGATGAAGTCCAATTGGGATAAGAAATCGTTGCCTTGCCCGTGCAAAAAACCTTATCTACACAGGTCATTCACAAAA